CCAAACCCAAATTCATGGGTTTATTGGTGAAAAAAACTCGAGTGGGTTTGAAAAACTCAAACCCAACCCAACCCAACCCGCTGGGTATCTGCGGGTTTATGGGTACCTACGGATTTTTGTCGTAAAAAATTTACAATAACAAGTTTCTATCAAAATTATAGTCAAATATCAATCTCTCAATATAAATTATCCATTTATAAAATACCATTCTAGAAAATTCAAGCAAATCACAAATTAACTATACTTGTTCAACACCAATCTAGAAAACTCAAGAAAATTGAAGCAAATCACAAATTATCCATAAATAACATGATTAATTGAAAGCTTCTTCCTTTCGTTTAAGTTTCTTCACTCTCCACTCGATAACATCAACTTCATTATACACAATTAGAAAGAAAAATTAGAAATGTCTCCACAAACATAAATAAGATTAGTTGTTTAGATTATTAAATATACTGAGAAAATTAATTATATGGGTGTGGGCGGGTACCCATGGGTCGGGTTTACCTAAACCAAACCAACCCCATGAATAGTGAACGGGTTTAAACCCAAACCCGACCGAAAACCAGTCAACACAGATTTTACCCGCGTTGAACGGGTTGGGTCGGGTGGTTACCCGTGGGTTCGGGTTTTGTTGCCATCCCTAGATGAGACAAGGGGACGTCCAAAGTCGGAAGAGGAAGCCTGATGCCCTAGCTCGAATTAGGTTGCCGTTTGGTTTGCTGATGCCTTAAAAATCCGCTGTCGTTTTTCCGAATTGCTCACCATCTCATTCAGTATTGGCAAACCAGTATACTGGCGGTTATTTACCTGGGTTGACTGCCTGCCTTCGAAGTGCCCTATCAACCGTTACCATTGGGTTAACAATTTAACCAATAACCGTTGTTATCGGTACGGTTACCAGTTAAAGTGTTAACCGAATTGTCAAATCACACCCCTAACTCCTAGTAGTCGGGCCTTGACGTTCCTTTAGTCATACAAGATGGTCTACTAGGATGCCTTGGCCTGAAAGCACATGAAACACTACCATAAGTACATGGAAATAGTAAATTCAATCCTAGAGCTACTAATACGCACATTGAAAGTTTATTAAGAAATTGCAAGCTAGTATAACACTAAAGATGTGATAACCATGTGATTCTAACCATAGTAAAGGGGTACAAAATAGTACTTTCTACGTGTCTTCAGGTTGTGACTCTGATATCACGACATGATCTTGCAAGTTAAGATCGTGAACTAGGAATCATAAAAAGTCAAGACACAAAGGAAAAACTATGATTCAACAATGTTTTATACGTAGTGGTCATGGTCGTGACATGACATGGCCGTGATATGCATTCTTCTTGCCATTTTATCAAGTGTCATGCCCTAGAAGACCTGACCACTCCTCGGTTATATTCAGTGTCATGCACCATAAATCACTATTGAGCCATCTTCAGGACTAGATGAAGGAGAGCCGATCCAAAGTGAAAAAATAGGGGTTTGACCACTTTTTATTGAGAGAAAACAAATTGAAAGAATTAAGGAACGACCATCAAAGAGCCATAGAGAAAAGGTACAATCCAAGGAGAAGATGATGATTTCAAGCTTGTCTCCATGACCTAAAACCCTATAGTTTCTTAGGGGGAGATAATCATATAAGTTCTATATGTAGTTCATTTTTGGTTGATTGAATATGAAACTAGCCATGATTTCTATCTTTCTATTTCTATTGATGGTTAATTTTGTCATACTATTTCCTTGATTAAGTAATTGGATTGTATGTGTTCTTAGCCTATGTTGAGGTGACCATTTCCTTAGGAAGATATTTTGAACCTATCGATAATGTGAGATTGAAATTACACGATCATTGATTTGAGCCGTCATTTGCATATAGATTAATCCCAATAGAGAAACGGAACCTAATGCTCTTGGTACCTAGTTAGTTACATGATCATTGAGATAACTTAGTGGCCTAGAAAAGTGGTTGTGCGTCACGATCATTGCAGAAATAGCTAACTCCATAGACTTCCTGCAAGTTAGAGGATAGGTTAGTCATGCAAAGGCTTGCATCAATAACATTATCATCCTACTACTAGGAGGTTTCAACCCTAAATAACTACATCATCTCTAGCGACCTCCTAAATAGTTGGTTGGAGTTCTTTTTAGTTAATTGGTTTAGTTAGTTTCTAAAACAACCATTATTGATTGACTAAATAGTACTTCAGAGCAAAGTAATAGCAGGCCTAAGGTGTCGGTGGGAATACGACCTCAAGGGCTACTTCTATAGTACTTCACCTATTCGAGTTATACTTGGCTCGAATTGGAAATGTTAGCGTGGTTTACCACCGAATTTTATAACTTGGTCCGCAGTCAAGTTTTGGCGCCGTTTCCAAGGAATTCTTAGGTTATTAGCAAAAGCCAAGAACTACTACTCTAATCGTTTTATCATTTTTTTTGTTTTGATTCTTGTATTTATTTTGTTGTGAAATTTTGTTGTAATGGTGTATGTTCTTTTACATTTTTTCTTCATTTGTTATGTTTCCCCTTGTTATCTTATGTTAAGTTATTGTGTGTCTTTGTTTTTGATTTTCAACCTTTGCTTTCGTAGTTTTTATTTTGTTTTTGTATATATAAGTTATAAAAATGGACTCAATGGTTTCACAACAATTTGGATTATCACCAACCATCCAATTGGTGCTATCCCGGAGCTACAAGTAATGATGCAAACTGTGGATTTGAATATCAAAGGCCAACCTTACCCTTAAATATACCAAGTTCCTACCTATCAAGAAGAACACCCTTTATACCTTGATGGGAATCCTCCTCCACCATTGCCTAAGATTGACTTTGAGTTTGAATTGGCAAACTTCATGATTTAGAGTGAGAGAGTGGCATTCCATATTGGAGAGGTACATAAATCCATCTCCTCATTCCAACCTTCTACCGGATTTCGAAGAGTTGCTCAAACAAAGAAAAGATTCTAGGCTATTGTGTGCCCTCCTTGCTCAAGAACACATTCAAAAAGAAATTGGTGAAAAAAGCAATTTATGTACAAGGAAGTATGAAGAGAGATCAATCACCAAGAACGAAGGAGCAATTCATTCCCCACCACCACTGAAGTTCATAAGCATGACAGACTTGGCCGTTGAGCACTTCAATATTGGATACGAGTACATCGATACTAGTGATCCTAATCTCCTTTAGGGTTGCTTCTATGTTAGATTTCAGGATGAAGCGGAGAAATAGAAAATGGTGAAAAGGCAAGAAGAATACAATTGTAAATCTAGTGAAGATCTTTCGAGAATCCATGTTCTTGTTTCCCATCAAGAAGAAGAAGAAGAACTAGAAAGGGAAGGGAGAAATGATGAGGTTGTGGAGGATGAAGAAAGCGAAGAAGAGAATGAACTTGAGTCTCAAAATGAGGAAACCATCATTCAAGGAGAAAGTGAGAGGAGGTTGAAGAAGATGATGAAGAATTTGTAGGGGTTATCTTGGTTGAGGAACTCGAAGTGGTAATTCAATATGACCACATAAGGTCACTTAACCTTGAAAGGCTCATGGCTTCATGTCCCTTCGCTATAGCTTGTTACCATGATGAGGACAAGGCATCATAGATTCCTCTTGGTGGATGTAATAACGACTATTCAAAGCTACTACTTTGGTTCGAGGCAAAGTGAAGAGACAAGAAGATGAAGCAAGGTTTCAAAGGTGGTATCTTAGGCACTCTCAAATTCATGAGCGTTCACTGAATGATCATGCAACCAGTCAAGACTTGAGACTTTATTTCATCGACAAAAACCTCTAATTCAAGGAGGTTTGGAGCTGGACTGAAACTTCAAGAAAACTATCCACCGATAAGACATAAAAGATGTGCTAGTTGGGAGGTGAAACACCCTAACCCCTCCGGGTACTACTTTTACTAAAATGCCCTTGATAAATAAAATACTCAAATATTAAATTGCAGCGGGAAAAGTTTTCATAAATAAAATACAGAAAATACACACTTGTAATTCAAAGGAAAGCCCTAACACATGGGCAAATTAAACTCAAACTTTAAAATCTCAATCTGATCTCAAGTCTATACTCGTAACCATAAAATGCAAATAACTAGGTTGTCTCTTTCGTTGCTGCTACTGAAAATCTTAACTAGGCATCCTCTGTAACACTTGCACTGCCCTCCTCTAGTTGGCTGCCCTCGAACTTTTCCTCTCGAACTCGCTGCTCTCTAACTGCTCCTCTAGCTAGCTGCTACCGTTCTGGTTCTCGCTCATTCCCTTACTAAGGCATGGTGAGTGAGTTGGGGTCAGTCTATGCCCTTACGTTTTAAACTTTCTAATAATTTTGCACTTCTTCTCAAACACTTAAACTCAAACGAAGGGAAGTTGTTTGTACTTCCATTCGTAAAAATCTTAACTCGTAAAATTGTATGGGAGTAACTGTAACTCTCCATTCTTAAAGCTTAAATCTCAACTTAAATACTTGACTGACACGGGGATCCCTCACTAGCTAGTCCGGTTGCCAACTCATACGTATGAGAAGCCATCCAAGCTTTCCTTAAACTTAAACTTAAACTTATCGTGGAAGGCTCTTCTTCCACGATTCTCAAGAGCATAACTGCTACTCATCTTAAAAATCTCAAGAGCATAACTGCTGCTCTGTCTCGAAGATCTCAAGAGCATAACTGCTGCTTTGTCTCGAAGATCTCAAGAGCATAACTGCTGCTCTATCTGAAAATCTCAAATGGCAACGGACTGACGCTAGTGACTGAAAACAGTTAAACGACTTCACCTTCTTCAAGGTGAGTTACTTCTTAAAAATGACTTGTTCTTAATCTTTAACAATAACTCATAAACATTCACTTCAAATCACAACTCAAACAAAAGCACATATCATCAACCATAATCATGCAATCTCAAACATGAATCAAATACTGCATATACGTCACGTAAATAATTACTTTAAAATACTCAAGGCAAATACTTGAAAAACTGTAAGGCATAGAATTTACCCCCTTTAGACTCACCTTACTTCCGTCGGAACTGGCTCTGATTTTGCTCCAAAGTTTCCATACTCGCTTCCAAGATAATAGTACACTCGTACTTGCTTGAATAAAATGGAGAAACTTGATTGGAAAATGGAATTAAATGAACCAGCTTGCTTTGGTCATTATTTGCATCAGGGCGCAAACGAGCTTGCTTAAGCAAACTGCTCTCGTAGAGGGGAAAAAGAAGCCCGCCGTCGATACTCCTCGCTCAGTCAGTCCTCCATCGTCACCTCTCGCCTACTTCGAAGATAGCAATAACCATGAGACGTCTAGAGGGAATGATGGTGCCTTGCCTTTCCCCCTTGACTTGATTACCCGATGGCAGATCATCCATTCCACCTCCTGTCTGCTTCTCGCTGGCGATAACAATAACAGGGAGATTCCCCTGCCGACAGTAATAACACGGAGACGAGCTAGCTTGCTTGAAGGAACGATATGCTCTGCGATTGACGATAGCAATAACACGGACACTAGCTTGCTTAAGCAAGCAGCTCTCGCAGTAGGGGGAGTAATATGCTCTGTCTCCCTTTGGACGGTGGCGCCGCTTTGCTTTGATTTCCCGAGTCTGGAGAGCAAGTTACTTTCGGTGGAGAAGTAAAAGGCTGCGAGGGTTTTGCTATTGGGGGTGAGGCCGAGTGGGGTAGAGGGTCTAGGGTTTAATTAGTTAGAGGATGTTTTGGGAATCTCATAGCTAAGTGTGAGTTTAATCCGAAACTCAATTAATGTCCATAACTTCCTCAATTTATGCCCAAATTTGACGCCGCTTAAACCAACATTTAACATTTTTAGTCCTCACTGATATTACGGTGGTACTTGACCCAAGGGTATAATAGTCATTTTGATTTTTGGGAAGATCGGGGTGTAACATTTCCTCCACCCTTATAAAAATTTCATCCCTGAAATTTGATCGGGCTCATCCTTCCATACTCCTCATTCCCGTGCTTCTTTGTCTCAAGATTTCACTCTTGCTATATGAACTTCAATGGCGTGCCCTTATTGTCTTGAATAGCTTACTATAGTTCTTATATGTACTCTTGACCATAACAGGTATTCTCATCTAGCTCGGTAGCATCGAATAGGTTGAGTGACTCATTGCCCCTTTCAAAAATTTCCAACTTGGGTCCAGGATAAGATGGGACAAAATTCCGTTTCAATTTATTGGTCCAACTGATTCAGTACTTGATGTTGAACCTAAATTGAAGTCGAGGTATCACATTTCCTCCCCGCTTACAGAAATTTCGCCCTCGAAATTTTTCTGTTGTGATTACCCTAAGCATCGCTTGTGGTCATTCTTTTCACTTCGAGAATTTGTATTTCCTTTAATTTATACGGCATGACCTAAAAATCCTTCTCTCCACTTCCTGCAACTTCAATGTTGTTGTGGCTTCTTAACACCTCACATCACCTATGTTGCACCTTGGACATATGTCGGAACGATAACAATCCATTATTCGGTACATGAAAAGTTAATGCCCCCCTCCAACCACAAGATCAGTGATGGCGGCTTATCTTCCATGTAGTCAGATGATAAAACTCTTTTAACGTAACTCTCGTCTAGGGTTGACCTCATAGGTCACCTATGTCCTTGTATCTACTAACTTTGCATCCCTTACTTTCTTCCTTGATGCCTCATCTTATCCTTTAACCATAAACTGAGTGGTCATCTCCTCGTTACTTCTTGCTTAACTCTGAAATCTCATACTACTATTTTTACTTCCTGTATGCATTAAATGCATCCTTTGCGTCTTTCTCTAGCTTGCTAACAACAATATGACTCCCTTCAAGAGTCATGAACTTCCCTTTGGCTTACCTGTTCACTCCTGGCACGTAACTTAGCACGTCCTTATCGCCACATGAATTTGAAGTTCTCGTACTATCCATTCCGCTACTCTTATACCCTAGCTGAAATTCCTCATACGATTTCCCCATCCAATAGAGTTTTACCCGAGAGATTGACAACTTTCACCAACATAGGCAATCTTGGTTTCACTTTGGGGTATTCTAGCAGGTTCCCTAAACTTATATCCCTCTTACTTCGTTAATCGTGACTCTTCTTCTTGATATTACTCACAAGTTCTAGACGATGTCCTTTATTCTCGATGTAGTCATCTAGGTTCTCATATTCTCTTCTTAATAATTTACCTTGAGTCCTTGACTTATAAGGTTCTCACTTTGACTAGTCTTAACAACCACGATTCCACCATACTTTCTTGATGGACTTCCTATGGATTGATTGTTCTCTACTGGTAATCAACCTAATGCTTTCTTGCTGTTTGTTATGTTCCTGCTTCGATCCGTCCTAGCTATCTTCCCTGACACATACATCGCCCGGTCGACGACCACTATTTTGTTTCTGTAACGTCCTATGGTGTTCTCCTTGCTTCTTTACTTTTACTACTCTTCCATTGTTGCTTTGTACTATATTTGGTCACCGAACTCCGTTGAGTATCTTCTCGTTATTGTTAGGGTTAAAGCTTGCAATAGAGGATTTCTCTGGGTAGGCTTTAAGATACCTCATTCACGTCATTTGTCTCGATTGATGCCTGCATATGGCCTTAATCTCATAGTCTGGGTTCTTAGTGGCATAACTGAACGTGTCTTACTTATTCTTAACTAGCCACTTCCTCTGGATGACATCCTACTATGCCGCTCCCACTCAGAGTGGGGCACCTTGGGTAAGGTAACTTAATGATTTCCTCCTTCTTGGTAATGCTTTTCGTCGTTGTACACCACTATGCATTTTCTTGAACACGAGTCACCTACACATATTCTCAATCCTTCATTGGAACTTCCATGTGCTTCCTCGAATTCTCTGCCATTCACTAGAACATTTATTGAACGTTCCACTTACTTATCTATACTCGGTTGACTTAATGACTTACTCTATAGCTAGTTCCAAGACTTCAACTCTCAGCCCTCTAGTTCCAACTTAGTAGAGAGGTTCCTCCTTCTGTCACCCCTCATGTACCCTAGGCGGCTAGGTGCTCCCTCGATTTAGGAGAGGACAATCCCATAACAGATCATCGTGAACTCTTGCATTCCCCTTTCAACGGTGCAATGACCTCTAGACCTGTCATGATCTGGGTAGTTTGTAGAGTCTCTCATATCCCAATCCATCCTCTTTCTAGCTCGACATTGTTCACAAGCATATTGTTATTCTTGATCCAAGCTCGTCCTCTACCTCGATCATCTTGACTCTTGTCTTGTTCCCTTTTAAAGGCTTCTTACCAGCCTAATTCCCCAATGTCATGCACCCTCTTCTAGAAGACGTAGTCTATCTACAAGGGTTCCTTCATCGTCATATGTAAACGACCATGCCTCCTCTCCTCCTTATACTATTGACTTCTTGACGTCCTTTCAGACCCCCTCTAACCTACTTACTTCCTCATTTACTTCATTTACACTACCCTAGCTTCTCTTGAAGTCTAAGCTTTCCACTGCTCCTTGTCACTGTGTTGTAATAGCATTGACCACTAAAACTAGTTGAGGGAATTCTCATGGTACCTCTTCGTTTCTTGACTCACCACTGCTTAGGGTCAAGGACCCTGAAATTCTCCCATCATTTTAGCTACTGACATCTAGTGCTTGTAGCTAGCTGCTCTCTAACTGCTCCTCTAGCTAGCTGCTACCAATATGGTTCTCGCTCATTCCCTTACTAAGGCCTGGTGAGTGAGTTGGGGTCAGTCTACGCCCTTACGTTTTAAACTTTCTAATAATTTTGCACTTCTTCTCAAACACTTAAACTCAAACCGAGGGAAGTTGTTTGTACTTCCATTCTTAAAAATCTTAACTCTTAAAATTTTATGGGAGTAACTGTTACTTCCATTCTTAAAGCTTCAATCTCAACTTAAATACTTGACTGACACGGGGATCCCTCACTAGCTAGTCCGGTTGCCAACTCATACGTATGAGAAACCATCCAGGCTTTCCTTAAACTTAAACTTATCGGGGAAGGCTCTTCTTCCACGATTCTCAAGAGCATAACTGCTGCTCATCTTAAAAATCTCAAAAGCATAACTGCTGCTCAACTTAAATATCTCAAGAGCATAACTGCTGCTCTGTCTCAAAGATCTCAAGAGCATAACTGATGCTCAATGTGAAAACTCAAATGGCAACGGACTGACGCTAGTGACTAAAAACGACTTCACCTTCTTCAAGGTGAGTTACTTCTTAAAAAGGACTTGTTCTTAAACTTTAACAAAAACTCATAAACATTCACTTCAAATCACAGCTCAAACAAAAGCACATATCATCGACCATAATCATGCAATCTCAAACATGAATCAAATACTGCACATACATCACGTAAATAATTACTTGAAAATATTCAAGGCAAATACTTGAAAAACCGTAAGGCATAGAATTTACTCCCTTTACACTCACCTTACTTTCATCGGAACTGGCTCTGATTTTGCTCCAAAGTTTCCATACTCGCTTCCAAGATAATAGTACACTCGTACTTGGTTAAATAAAATGGACCAGCTTGCTTGGCTAACGGAATTAAATGGACCAGCTTGCTTTGGTCATTATTGGCATCAGGGTGGAGATGGCAATAACAGCAAGCTTAAGCAGCTCTCATAGTATTGGGAAAAAGAAGCCCGCCGTCGATGCTCCTCGCTCAGTCAGTCCTCCATCGTCGCCTCACGCTTGCTTCGCCCATAGCAAAGATAGCAATAACCATGATACGAGCTTGCTTAAGCGAGCAGCTCTCGTAGTAGAGGGAATGATGGTGCTTTGCCTCCGGGGGCGGATCCACTTAGGAGAATGGTTTGTCAATTAACAAACCTTAAACCCAAAATTTGAACAAAAAACTTGTGGAAATTTTTATTTTAGTTATAATAGTATTTGGATTCGAAAGTATTTGAAAACCCTTAGATATTTTGGTTTATTGGTGAATACTTTTAATGAAATATCTGGGTCTGCCACTGTTTGCCTCCCCCCTGACTTAATTACCCGATAGCAGGTCCGCCACCTCCTGCCTGCTTCCCCCATCGTCCAACGGTGGGCGGAGATAGCAATAACAGGGAGATTCCCCTGCCGATAGTAATAACACGAAGACGAGCTTGCTTGCTTAAAGGGACGATATGCTCTGTGATGGCAATAACACAGACACGAGCTTGCTTAAGCAAGCAGCTGTCGTAGTAGAGGGAGTAATATGCACTGTCTCTCTTTGGACGATGGTGTCGCTTTGATTTCTCGGGTCCGGAGAGCAAGTTGCTTTCGGTAGAGAAGTAAAAGGCTGCAAGGGTTTTTGCTATTAGCGGTGAGGCCGAGTGGAGTAGAGGGTCTAGGGTTTAATTGGTTAGAGGATGTTTTGGGAATCTCACAGCTGCGTGTAAGTTTAATCCGAAACTCAATTAATGTTCGTAACTTCCTCAATTTATGTCCAAATTTGACGCCATAAAATTTTTAGTCCTCACTGATATTACGGTGGTACTTGACCCAAGGGTATAATAGTCATTTTGATTTTTGGGAAGAGCGGGGTGTAACAGGAGGCACCCCCAATGTTGGTTTGATTTATTTCCTTTAAAATTTTTGTTTGTTTTTTCGTGATTTGCATGTGTTTCGTGAGTTTAGAGGTAGATGGAGTGATATAGAAATCATCCTTAATCACAAAATAGTCCAGGAACAATGCATGATGCGATAAGACGTCAATTTTTCGGGGTTAAGGTAAGCTAGAGAGTTAAAAGGGAAAAAAATAGGCAGACACAAACGTGACTATGACCGTAACAAATGAATGTCGCGAGCAGTCAAAATGATAGATGGTATAAGGGTGTTTTGTCACCACACCACACCACAACTAATTACTTGTTCACAGATTGACATAAAATTTATTTCTTATACTGTAAAAAATTCCAACGGGAATAAAGACCTTATCGAATCTCTTATCTCCTTATGGCTATTCGATTTTTCGCCCAGCAACCCTGAAGCAGTCCAACGATAGCGGTTATTCCAATACTTTTGATTCTACCAGTTGCAACTACAAGTGAAGAAAGATCACTTTCAACTTTGAGCTATATTAAGAAAAAGCTTCGAAGTCGAATTGGCAACTGATTTGCTAATTATTTTTTAGTGGATACAATGAATGAGACTTACTTAATAGTGTAGCAACAAATGTATTTTGTGTTTCATCAAAAAATTGTCATGGTTGTTTATGAAAAGAATGATTGTATTAGCCTCTTGTTTATCTATGAATAAATTATCTGGATATTATTAGTTTTAAGTGTGGGGGCATTTGTCAACACCGAAATCATGGTTATTTAACCTCACTTACTAGGTTGTTTGTGAGCTAAATCATGGTGCTTAGGCAACATTGTGGTCTAGCTTATGTCAACATCGAGGTGCTAATCCGATTTTAAACCAAAATGAGGAAGCGGGAGCCGAGGAAGAGCCAAGGACTATGGGCTATTATGGCTCCACGGGCGGCGGATATCCAATCTCCTATCCTACATCCACCCGTGGCTGCCAACATTTTAACTTTGAAATCAAGCCCTCACTTGTGATGATGATTCAAAACAATGCCATATTCCACGAGCTTGCCAATGAATCACCGTGAGAGCATGTTCAAAGGTTTCTTGAGCTTGCGGGAAGCCTGAAGATAAATGGCATCCCCGAGGAGGCATTGAAACTGAGGCTATTCCCCTATTCTTTGGCGGGGAAGGCACTCTGATGGCTCTACAACCATCCGGGTCGATCCATTACCTCTTGGGACGATTTACTCAACAAGTTCATAACCCGATATTGTCCTCCTTCCAAGACGACCGAGTGGAGATAGAAGATCACTGACTTTGAGTAAGAGGAAGATGAGACGTTGAGGTATGCTTGGGAAAGATTCTATGTCTACTTCCTCCAATGCCCTCACCATGGATTCGAGGAACAATTTTGGATAGAGACTTTATATGGAGGGCTCATTCAAGATGACAAGATTCTCATCGACTCTCTTTGCCAAGGAAAGTTGATGAACATGAGTCCACCTCAAGTGACCGAGTTACTTGAAGATATGGCTCTCAAAGGATATAATTGGGGCTTGACAACCATATCAAGCACAAGGTTGTCAAGGTTCCAACAACAACAAGTCGACAAGTTTGTTAAAGTTGAAGACCTTGTGACCACCTTTGTGAGTACAAGCTCTCAGAAGTTTGAGAAGATTGAGCAATTCATGGATGTGGCAACCTCCAATTTTACCTCGGTTGAGGCGGAACTCCGAAGTCATCAAGCAAGTATCCAGAAATTGGTAGTGCAAACGACAATCTTGCCAGGATCCTCACCGAGAGACCAAAGAGAGCCCTACCCTCTCAAACCATTACAAACCCCAAGGATCATGCCAGGGTAAATGCAATTCAATTGAGAAGTGGGAAGGTGACTCCGTAGGTCGTTGCCAAAGAAGTGAATGAGAAGGAAGACCCTCTACCCGAGGATGGAGAAGAAGAAACCTCGGTAGAAAAGAGAGGAGTGGCGAGGAAGGCATTGCCAAAGCCATCTCCAGTGGCTGAGTACACGCCACCTCTACCTTTTCCCACGAGAGTGCACAAGGAAAGATTGGAAGCAGAATGTGGAGGTTTCATGGAGATGCTCAGAAAACTCCACCTCAACATTCCCTTCCTTGAAGCAATGGCCCACATGCCAAGGTATTCAAAATATATCGAGGGGCTTCTCTCCAAGAAGCCGAAGTTCGAAGACCTCGCCATTGTCACCCTAGGCGAGGAGTGCTCAGCCTTCATCCTCAACAGGTTGCCCAAGATGCAACTCGATCCAGGTAGTTTCACCATACCTCTTTGCATCAGTACTCATCACATAGAAAATTCCTTGGTGGACTTAGGGGCGAGCATAAATGTGATGCCATTTAAGCTTTTTAAGAGGCTAGACATAGGCAAAATAAAGACTACGAGGCTTAGTGTCACATTGGCCGATCGCTATGTCATTAGTCCTAGGGGTATTGTGGAGGACGTGCTAGTACGAGTCGGGAAATTTTGTTATCCGGCGGATTTTGTGATCCTGGATATAAGTGATGATTTGAGATGCCACTCATACTAGGATGCCCTTTCTTTGCCACCGCCAAGGGGTTAATTGATGTAAATGTGTGAACTTTGATTTTGAGGGATGGCGAGGAGATAATTACTCTTGGAATTGAACCTAAGCCTTGGAGTGAGGATGTGAGGAAAGTGGAACCGGGTGATATGAATGCAAGTGGAGGAGAACCTTTCATGGTAAAACCCACTATTACTGTTTTTCCTTGTGATGATGTGAAGCAGGAAAGCAAAGAGGCCATCTCCCCCAAAGAGGGAAGGAAAAGAGCTTGGAGGGAAAGGATGAATCATGCTAATGCCTGGTGGAAGGAAAAGGGCAAAGCGAAAGTCATCGGCTAAGAAGGCCATCCCATGGAGAGTAAGTTGGGAGGCGACATGCATCGTCCCAAGATTTTGACAGATCCACTCTCGGTGGCATCATGTTCAAAGGCGTAATAGAACAGCAACGTCAAGCTAGTGGCGTTAACTTAACGCTTGTTGGGAGGCAATCCAACGTAGGTTTGTTTTATTTTCCTTATTTTCGTTTTTGTGTCGAGTGAAGAGTTCAAGTGGTCGAGTGGTATCCTCATGCCAGGTTTTTGTGATTGTGTGTTTTGAGTTTTGTCGTGAATGATAGTAGGCATGGTGGAGTAGGTCGAGTTAAAATTTTTTGGAAATGCCATGTTTTCACTTGAGTTCACGTACGGATTGCTATGTTCACGGCCTTAATCGACTGTGACATGTCAAACGCGTCTGTTAACCAGGGTGCTTCCACGTGTTGTCAAAACCATCGGTTCGTCCCAGTTCAAGAACAGATTGCTATGTTCAAGAGCTAAGCGACCGTGAACTGGAAAACGCATTCGTGAACCTCAAGGTCTTCCTATAAAAGGTTTGTGAACGCTTTCTCTTCATTTCACGATCCAAAACTCGCCCGAAAACTTTCAAACTTGCCGGGAAACCATGATTTTCAAACGATTTTGCCCTTCTCGTCAACTTATGGCGATCCAAATCAAAAACCAATCGTAGACATTCTCCCCTTGTCAAGGGAGGCCTTCGCCGAGATTTTGGGGGAATTTGGAGTTATTTTTTTCCGGTGAAGTCGCCGTCGGCAAGCCTTCGATGAGTTTCCAGTGAGCTTTCAGGGACCCTTCTCCGGCCTATTTTGGCCAGGTTTTGGTCTCCCTCGCCCTCTCCTCACTTCCCCTACCATCCTACTTGGGTCTCCAGGTTTGTTTTCAACTCTACATTGGTTAATTTGGGAGAATCGGATTAGGTAGTGAAGTGAGGAAAATTTAGTGAATTGAATGTTGAACTTAGCAATAAGGCGTGGAATTAGGTGAATTGTGGTGAATAAATGATGGAATGATGTTTGCATGAGCTTATTTGAGCCTTGTTGGGCATGATTTAATTCGAATTGCTATTATTTGTGGAATTTGCCCACCAAGTGCTAATTTGTGAATGAAAGTGCAATTTTATGCTTGAGTGGTGGATGGTAACCACCGTAGCGTGGTTTCGGTTAGGATTTTTGTGTGGATAAATAGTGAAAAACCTAGGAGCATGTCTCAGTGTGCTCGAGCTTAATTGTTTTAAGTAGCATGGACCTATAGTGGAAATATAAGTGGGGGGGGGGGGGGATTCCGTTTTCTTCCCAATGAGTTGAGATTGACAATTATTTCCACCTATGGTGCATGTTTGAATTTCTTGCAGGAGAGTCAGCATGAACCACCCGTACCTGTTGGCGCTGAGAGGGAACCCCACAATGGAAAGGAAGGTGAGATTCTGAGCGAGCACTAACTCCGAAGATCACTGGAAACTCGACTAAACTCAATTTGACAGTCTTCACTGTGGAGATATCATGAGGGAGGTTGTGGCGCACCCACAGTAGTGCCGACTCCTTGAAATGGAGGATGGCATTTATGGGGTGTCGAGTTTTTCATTACCTTCATCATCCATAGGAGCAAGAGCACGTTCGGCCATCGGCGACGCGAGGTGATATTTCACTTGGGAGGGGAATGGACTCCCTGACTTTTAACGAGCTTGCCCGATCCTTGGGAGTTGACGATGGGTATGAGGCAGAATGGGAAGAGGACACCATCAGAGTTTGCAACGTGAATGCAACTTTTCAAAGATTTTGCCTGCCGGAGCACCGACGAACACCGTTTCATTCTGCAATCACGTTGGCGTCCACACTCAAGCCATAGTGGCGCATCATCAATGCACTCCTTGCACGTTCCCTCCACCCGAGTATCACAATCCGAACAAGATAACTGAGAGGATCTTGCTGGCATTCTTTTGCATGGTGGACTCGTCTAGGAGTCTTCATCTTGGTTCAGTCTTGGCCACCTCTTTTGCCACAGCCATAGGGGGAAATCGACGATATATCACATCAATGGGGCCCTACATTACCCGTCTCGCTCATCACTTGAATGTCAATCTGGCGGGCTGCACATCTGAGGGGGCACTCCACGGGGTTCGAAGAGGGAACTTTGCGTTCCATGCGTTTACTGCGAACATTTGGATCATTTCGGTTCATTTAGGGACTGCCTCTACCACCAAGGGTCCCTCCTCCAGAGCTCCCAGCCGCCGTCGGCGTCCCGCGCTCCACTGTCCTGCACCACCACCACCACCACCACCAGCATCATCATCAGGTGTTGGTCCTTCCCCTTCCGGGGTGCACCACGTGGAGAGGATGGACCGCCTTGAGATCCACGTGGTGGGAGTCACTTCCCGGCTTGACCGGCACACTGTCCTACTAGAGCGGATAGCTCGTCGACAGGGCCTCCTTCTAGATGATGAGTCGGGGCCTTCGACCTAGTGGGAGGTAGCGGACGAGTGAGACATGTGGCAGAGTTGATTCCTTTCGCCCCACTTCTCCACTTGGAACTCTGAACTCTTTTATTTTATTTTTCTATCTTTTATTTGGTATGTGTGAACAACTACTACTATATTACTGTTATGTGTAAAGCTCGAATCTCCTACCCCGGAAAAATTTCAACTTTCACTCACCAAGCCATGCGGGAACATCGTCCTACCCCTATCTTACGCCATTGAGGGAAATGTCGAACTTAAGTGTGGGGGTGGGGGGGGGGGGGGGGGGGGTAGTTTATTATTATGCTTGTGTGAGTGTGATTGATGCTTGGAGCCTTGATGTATGCCCAAATTTGAAAATTTTGTGGGCTCCAAGCAATGTTTGCATGATCAAAGTGGCCGGTTTGTAGGAGAATCTCATGTTTATTGGCATTGACCTTGAATTGTTGCATGTGATCGAGTGTGTCCTATGATGATGACTGAGAGGCGCATTAGGATAGTGCAAAGGTTTAGTTCTAATGCATGCAAAAAAAAAAAAGGATGTCTTGACTCGATTACTTGTTGATTACAATTGCCATGCATTGTGTTTTGTCATTTGGAAAAGATGATTAGGGGACTAGGTACCCATGTGAGTTTGAGCCGATCATTTTTTTCTTGTGTGCTTAGATCCCTCTTATCATGGCAAGTAACATCACAGTTGTCACTAGTGAGTATGATGGAGGCATAGGATTAGTCCACGCCCAAATGCTGATTGTCCCGAAATGCTTTATCCCCTAGTCAACCCCTTTGAGCCTTGTGACTTTGGGGGTCGTTCTCTTGTAGGAGCTTTTTGCTTGTGACCTTAATGGTGTTTGATAGAACGACCTCCCATCCTTTCTTCGTGTCTATACGTGGCTCGTCCTTGTGTCCCAGAGCTCTCGCTTTTGAGTTCCATAGAGGTTCTACATAGGAGGATTGTGTGCGGTTCTTGCTAAGAATGAAAGAGAAAAGAGTAGTGTTGGAGTAAGTTCTTAAAAGAGAGCATTGGTTGTTAAATGTAATGTGACAAGTGTTTTACTCTCTAGTACCCCCCTCAAAAATAAAATAAAAGATAAAAAAAAGGAAAAGGAAAGTAAGAAAGAAAAGAATCGAAAAAGAGGTAATAAAACGGGCTAATTAAAGTAGAGAGTGCCACAAAAACCAAAGAGTATGCTCTATGAGGGGTTTCTTGGAATTAAAACCATTGAAACCCCCACATTTCTGTTGAACTTCTTCACTACCAATTCTAAATGTGATAGCAAGAGTAGACCAAGGAAGAGCGCTTAAATGTAGTTCATGATGGGTGATAATATGGAAAGGAGAAACAAGGTTTTTGGCCGATGCTAGTGGCCATTGTTTGTAGGGAAGGTTCTTAGTCAAAACCATAGAACCTTCGGGTTTATGGTGAAGATGTAGGACATCATGTTGTGTCTCCCACCACCCAAAAAGCCTTTTCCCCATGTCCAAGACAATTTCACGTCATTTGAACCCGTGTCTAAGACCTCCGGACAATCTAGTGATGACAACCGTCTCGTGAACTCTAACATTTAGAGGTTGCGTCCAGGGGTGGCTATTTGGACCGTGACCGGATTAAAAACCGGAAACCGGACCGTATAACCCGGACCGAGACCGGACCGAGACCGGATAGTAAACAATCCAATCCAATCTTTGGGCTTAGATTTGAGGTAAAAAACTGGATAAAGACCGGATAAGAGAGCTCAACACCCAAAACTTAAGGGTAATTTGCATAAACGGTCACAAACCTTTGCACTTAGTACAAAACTTAACCAACTCCTCACCCTTTAAGGCCTTAGGCCACTCAAATCCCACAATTTCAATGTAAAATCAAGACCGAATTGGGACCGGACCGGATCAAGACCGGACTGTATCCAATCCAATTTTCGGTCCTTATATTTTCAAAAAGACCGGACTGGACCGGATCAATTTGGGCCAATTTAACCGGACCGGACCGTATAGCCACCCCTAGTTTCCTCCATGGTGGAGAGATGAAATGGCCGAGTGTTGATGATTGTGCACATTCTTTGCACCAAAAGGTGCCGACCCCAATGGTCAAGAGGGTGAGTGATTCATTCTTGTTTTGCATGTCATATCATACCCCAGTGAGGACCTTTGTTGCCCATTCATTTGTCCCTTGGACTTGAATGTTATGCATGGTTAGTTGTGGTTGATAAATGATCTTGTTGAGACTTGCATTGATTCATGAACAAGGTGAGAACTTTTCGTTTGCCCGATTTTGGTGACCTCGAATGTCGTTTGTGGTGGATGCCGGTATTACTTGCAACGGTCTATGCGTTAATTTCCAATAGCCATTGAGATTCTCCACTTTGTGTCCTTTGATTTATCCCAAATTGTTTTGTTAGGTTGAGATATTACCTTGTCTTAAATGGTTTGCTTGGGCACAAGCAAACGTCTAAGTGTATGGGAGTGATTGGGTCCTAAATGTACACTTTTTATCCTTGTTTCTCTATGATGTTTGTGCCAATTGAGCTCCAAAAAGGGTTATTCTACGCTAGGTTTCTTGTGTTTCAGAGTTTAATAGGTGAAACCAACCCCGGAGTCGGAAGTTGGAAGAAAATGAGCAAAGAATGGGCAAAGAGGAGGATTCATCCACAGTTCACGATTAAACATTGGAGTTCACGGTCACCAGGACCGTGAACTTGAACCACAAATCGTGAACCGCGAAGCGTCCAGAGGGGTTTCAGAGGTTACTGATGCCAAGGCAGTTCACGGTCGCTAAGACCGTGAATTGGACCCATGGACCGTGAACCCCAGAAGGGAAGAGACGCGTTTTGATCAAAGTTCACAGAGTTTACGAACGCGGCCTGATGTTCACGGCCGTGAACTGGGCGCGATCTGAGTATAAATAGAGAGCAGAAAGGAAGAAGAAAGAGGGAGCCCAAAGTGAGAGAAACATTTTTCTGCTTGAAACCCTAGAGAGAGAAAGCACGAACCAAGAGGGAGAAGAGGCTAGGGTTTGCTCCAAGTGAAGATTTTGGAAGTTCCTCTTCAAGCACAAGGAGAGTTGGTGGCATCACAATGGTAGTTTCTTTCTTCATCCTTTGTGTTCTTCCTTTTGTCTAGCATGGAGTAGTTTCCCTTTTCACTTGGATGTTGTAGAACCCTAACTACTATCATGTAATTGATTGTGTGGATTGAATTATTGCGTGATGGTGGTGTTTAATTTAAGAATTGAGGTATTTTTCATGGTGATTGTGCATTGTGTGTGTTTGGCAATCTGTTGTGCTATTCTAACCTAGCTTAGAGAGAAGGCCCCTTATCTTAAGAGGCTCAAATTGAGCTGGGTTTTCTTAGGCATTCCATGCCTCCTAACTAAGTTAATGAAGGGCAAACCTCTAACTTGAATTAGACACCTAGGTTAATTGTGATTATGCCGTCCAAACCTTGGTTTGAGGGAGAAGGTAAGTCAACCCACAATTGCTTGAGCCAAGAGGGCTACAATTGTAGATCTAATGCTTACCTTGGCCTAGCAATTGAGAGGATGGTTTCTAACCATTGTTGCACCTCCTACGGGTCACAATTGCCTTGTCACACACTGGTTCGTTCGATCCCACGGTTCGGTATTTTCATTAATTTTATTTTCCATACCTATTTAAAAAGTGGTAAACACGAATTTTGAGGTAAGAATTTGCTGAATGAGAATTTTACACCGAGGTGTGTTTTTTCTCTATGGAGCACGAGTGCTTATGGATTATTGTTTTAGCTGTTGGTGAATTCCATAGCTAGTGCAAGATCCTTGTTTGAGTTTTTCTGTTAAAGAATCCAGAAGAGCTTGGCAAGACACTTATCAATAAAGCAATCACACTTGACAGAAAATTGGTAGGAAACAATCGTATTGAATGCGTGAATTAATCACTCTTCTAAGAGTGTTTATTTGCCCCCAGTACAAACACTGGTAGGATTAAGAAATAGAGAAGGGAAACGGGAAGAAGAAGAAGAAGAAAAACTCTCTGGTACATAAAAGAGTTATGGCAATCATCTATTTATACTTGTGAAAACTAGAAGTTCCGGCTCAAGATAGGGTGCATAACCCATGATTATGCACTCATCCATAACCAAATCTGGACCTATCATTTAGAAAATTCAGATCTAAGGATGGAGAATTAAAGATCATTTTTATTTTCCCTAGTTTTTTTAATCGGCTCATATCTTTTTCGTTTTAACTCGAATTTTAATTTTTTTTGCACAGATGGAACGAGTTCATCTTGCTCTACAAAATGATATCAATTTTCAATATTTTTTTTAGAAAAAAAAATTCTGGCCTCTCGGTACCAACTGCATACCATATGGTATTTTCTTCGTTTTTAATTCGTTTTTGAAAACGTTTGCATAGAAGGGACGAGTTCATCATGATCTATTGGATCTAAAAATTTCTGGGTGAACAAATTACATGACAAAAAAATACCACACAATACCATACAATACCACCCTGGTACGGGGTGGTATATTATGGTATTTTCTTCGTTTTTAATTTGTTTTTAAAAACGTTTGCACAGAAGGGACGAGTTCATCATGATCTATTGGATCTACAAATTTCTGGGTGAATAAATTACATGACAAAAAATAGCACACAATACCATACAATACCACCCTGGTACGGGGTGGTATATTATGGTACACAATGATAAAAGTCGTAAATGACTGTTAATATACTTCTATTATCATGTATTCAACCATCCTACAGTCTTGGTTTGTTCATACCACCATGGTACGCTTTTCAAACCATAGGTATGTTCTTATTTCAATACCAGTCAATACCATATGGTATAGACTGGTAAAAAATGGCTCAATTTTTTTGTTCGAAAAATATATCGAAGTGGATATCTTTTTGAAGAGCACAATTAATATGATCTAACTGTGCAAAAAAAATTAAATTTTGACTTAAAACGAGTGAGAAATCGTCCGTCAAAGATTAAGAAGGGGAAAATTAAAGGCTTTCTAGGAGAGAGAGATGTTGATGTCATGCTGATGTGGGCTGATTACTCATGGTTACTCACCATAAGGTTACTGACCTGATCCGTTCCCAGAACTTCCCTTCCGAAGAGATACATCCTTTCTCAGAAAAGGGAGTTACCTTTCCAGAAATGACACATCCTTTCACAGAAAAAAGAAAGTTATCTTTCCGAAAATAACACATCTTTTCACAGAAAAAAGGGAAGTTACATTTATGGAATGATACTTGTCTTCTCAATATTCAAATGTTAATTAATAAATATAAATTTAATTAATTAATAAACTGCCAAAAGACTCAATTCTTATATTTTTTCTCCTATTAAAGTTGTATTACAACTCGATTGACAAACTCTAACATCAATGTCGTAACATGAAAACTCTCCTCTTCCGAATCCTTGTTTCGTCTTTACCCCTACTTAATCTTCTGTCTCCCTCTTCTGCTTTATGCAATTCTTCTTACTGCACTAGCATCTTCTAAAAAGTAAAGAATTCTTGGCCACTAAATAATATTAATTAAAAGTATCAAGGGAAAAAAAAATTCAAGAAACAGGACAACCAAGCTGCAATCTCAAGGCTCAAACAATGGCCATTCCCAAGTCCCAACAACAACAAAAAATAGAGACAAGCAGTAGAAAAGCATTCCATCTCTTAATTTAGGCCACCCACCAAATCATGAACGTGCTTTTGAAGTGATTAGACATAGGTAATTCTCAATTTCTCAGCGAGTCTGTTTCTTCTCGCCTGTCTTTTCGCTTTTCTCTTCTGTCTCCTTGAATCCTACACAACTACCTTAGGCAAGAACCAAAAAGAAAACATGACATAAACAATAATTATCCACCTACCTTTGCATTTTTGCATTGCCTCCATGCCTGCTTCCGACGAGGATGTTAGCGGTCGTCGGCGGAAGGTTGATTTGATGGTTAGTTGTGGTTTGTGGGGCCTCTATTTGGCTATCTGTATGCATTGGATCATAGATTTTAATTGTGATCCCTAGGTGGAAGATAATCAGTTTTGTTTGATAGGGGTACAAGGAAACATATTGGATGATGAGATCGCATAGGTTGTATACAACCAAAAGGTAAAAGGCATTTTAACCTAAAAATTTTATCTACAACCATGGGCCTAATTGCAACATGGAGGCAAAAATTATTAGTTTTAAGCTAACTGTGGAGGGAGTGAAAATTTGAAGGTAGTGAAATAATGAGGGATTAATTGGTAATTAAACTTGTATTTTTAAAATTTATATATTTGTTCATGATAATTAGATATAAATATTTCTCTAAAATTGTACAATTTTGGAGATATTTTTTTTATTTGAAACAGTTAGTTAATCATTTTGATTGATAGTTCATAACCGTTATAAGGTGGAGAGGCTAGTAGATCTAGCAGGCGAATCTTCGGGCTGTGCAGCGCTGGTTTCGGCGCTCTTTATCGGCGGAAGATGGTGGCGAGAGATGAAGATACTCCTCACCCACGAATCGGTTGGGAGAACAAAGATGGAGGCAAGGCCAACGGAGCAGGTGAGTCTATAGGGAGCGCAGTGCTGGTTTCGGCGCTCCTAATCACACAAGAGAAGAGGCAGAGAAAGGAGTAGTTCATTGGTGAGATGTGGGAGAGAGGGGATGCGGTTAGGGTAGTAAACTTACTATTTATATTAGGCTTTGAGTGAGCATTGACTAAACTATCCTTCAAATAACTTTGACCCTAGAATTATGTTTTTAATCTAATGATTATTATGTTTAGTTAGGATGGTGCTAACTAAACTAAGGGGTTAGCAACTAAACCTATTTCCCCTTTAGATTAGTGTTTTTTTTTTTTTTGCAAGTGGTCCACACAACTTTGGTTTCCCTTTAGATAACTGATTGCTTTTT